GGAAGATTTGAGAGTGTGTCTTTCGCACGTTTTTTCTGAGGCGGGGCAGTCTTGCTGGGGGAGTCGGTGGCCGGTTAATCCTCGCCCGAGGTGAGCTACGATGAAGATCAGTGGCGCCGGCGTCGGTCCGGACGAGCGCGGGGGAGGCGGCGGGGGCCAGATTGTCTGGTCTGATGAGCGGTCGGCTCGCCATTGTGTTATCCCGCCAATATTTCCCCGGAGCCGTTCGACCTGAGCGCACGTTATTATTTCGCCTCCTTCCCGACGTCTTCCATTATCCTTTTGAACCCCCGTCTGCTTCGTCAGGCCCCCCAGTTTTTGCCGGGGTTTACTTTTCCAATTAACTCAGCCGCTGCCGGTCAATATTGACCGAGGATAATCATGTGCCAATCCTCTTTCCATTGTGTCGCCGACTTCCAAGAAAAGCCACAAATAAAGCGCGGGGCATGACGCATTTGCACATTAATGACATGCTTGGTTTTGATGAGCCATGTTGCGGGGGGCCGGTGGGGGCGAAGCAGGTGTTTTGCCGCCTTAATGACTTTTAATTTGCTTTTTATGAACCCGGCCAATCCGAGGTCGTGCACTGGAGATTTCGGGATGCGCACCCGCCGCCGCCGCCGCTCCCCAAATGGCAACAAGTCACCGTTGATCTTTCCTCTTCCGACACAATGAAGAGATTCCCGAGCGGGCTTTGGGAATAATCCCTCCGCGCTATGCTAATGATAGCCATCCCGCCTCTCTCACCCCCACTCGGTTGAGCTCGTCGTTAGTATGCGCGGCGACGTCGCGTTAAAACCCGCGCCGGGCACGGAGCTGGCGCTGTTTTATTCATGCCGCCAGCGGCGCCGGGTACGCCGCTCAGACGCTTGCCAAACTTTGTCCTTCGCGCGTCTCAAGGACTTAGCCGCCGGGATTAGCCCGACAACAAAAAATATTCCCGGTCACGGCGTTACAGTGGGTATAAGCTACGTCTGTTTACCCAATTAGCGATGTTTGCCTGCCTGTTGAGCTCTCCTCGGGTCCAACTTTTTTGTTCACCGCACGACTTTGTTGAAAGACAAACAATAGCCGCTACTGCTCGGCACAAAAACAGCACTTCAGTGTGTCGCGCTGATCAATTCTGAAGCGTTTATTTACCGCAACTCTATTGATCGGGATGATTTTATTAAAGCGGCTAAATGTCAACTTTAATAGCTGCTAGTTGGTCGCTGGACTGGTGTCTGTTTGTAAAACGAAAGCAATAGACTCTTAGCCCATTTTTGGCTAGCATTCAGAATGCTAGTCGAAAAGCGAGGCGCCCGTAACGAGGAGATACCGCAAATATCAAGGTGATGAGCGCACCTCAGGAGAGAGAGAGAGCGTCTTCGGTCGAGATCCCGGCGAGGAAACGTGCGAAAGGAGGAGATGTCGCTCATCTTCACACCTCGCCGCCGGCTCTAATTACGTGACTTGAAACTACGCCGAGAAAGAGGCCTTCACAGCTCCCACGCCGTTTCCTGTTCGGGCGCCGTCGCCGCCCTTCACACCTCCCACCAGCCTCCAATTAGCGGATCTAAGCAGGTTCCCCTGACGAGGAAGGACTGGAGCGAGGGAGTTGGAGGCATCGCTAGGGGTCAGCGCCGAGAGGTCGACCTGCGAGGGCGGCGTGGACTTGAGATTTCTTGTCTGCGGGGCTCATTATGTGCTCACCGCTAGCCTAAAAAAAGTACATGAACATCTTTTCCTACCTGTTGCTAAGCCATCGTAAGTTTATGTGGAATTCGATATCCGGATGAGCTTCTGTTAGCAAATGTAATCACGATGTTTGTTTTTTTTTTTTTTTTGCATGGTACGCATTTACAAACTCTGCCAGGGTATGTAAACTTGTCAGCACAACTTTTTTTTTTTTTTTTGGCGTAACTTTTGCCTCTCCAAGAGCACAAAAAGTTTCCCTTTTTCTTTTTATCGCCGTCCTCTGCCCTCATCTCCTCGCAGCGCCGAGCCCGATGGTGTTTTTATGTATGGCGATGTCTGTGCGTGTGTATCTGTGTGTGTGTGTGTGTGTGTGTGTGTGTGTGTGTGTGTGTGTGTATGTGTTTGTGTGTGTGTGTGTGTGTGTGTGTGTGTGCGCGACGGGGCGTATCTGTGCCGCCCCTATTATTTATCACATCCCGAGAGTCCAGGAGGGGGTGTGAGGCAGGCGATAAACACAACTGACGTTACATCGACGCAACGTCGACATTAATCTCGGAAAGGTGACGGCCGGCATCGCCACTCGCATCAGTAGCACGCACGCACGCACAGAATCTGTTGTATATATTATTTAGGATGTAACATACTTAAAACTTGAAATAGATTAACATTTTATAGCGAAGGGATTTTGGATTTTTTTTTTTTAAAAACATTTTCATCAAATTTTGTAATGTAATTAAATAATAGGGAAACTATACATTATATATATATATATATATTTATTTATTTATTTATTTATTATATACTTGTACTGTATTAATTTTCAAATTAAATCCTTCCAGTCCGAACTCATTCATATGTTTTTTTTACAATATTTTTCGATTTAAAAATAAATGAATTAATTCATTAAATTCAAAAATAAAATTTACATTTTGTGAAAGCATGAAGTTAATTTGCCTTTAAAATCCTTGAAACAATCCTACTGCTTTAATTTTTGAAAAGACATTTTTATTTTTTTTCACTGATATGAATCAACTTCTAGATAATTATTATAAATATATATTCCATTTTTTGTAATATATTCCTCTTTTGTATCCTATGTGTCCTACTCATGCTACTTTTTTATTTTGAAAAATCCACTCACCCTAAATATAATCATAAAAAATAATATAATTTTTTTAAATTCAATGATTTTTTTTTAAATACATGAATTAAATGTTTTTTTTTTCTTTTTTGACTGTATTACTTTTCCTCCAAAAAAAAGCAAAAAAAACACTCAAATTCTGTAAGATGAATCGGGGCTATATTTGTACTTTTTTGGGCACTTATTGAGAAAAAGTAATCTCCATAATCAAGACGAGTGAACCAAAGGTGCCTTCTGAAGCGCTCCTCCTGGTTGCCGTGGCAGCCCATGATGCGAGCGACCGCCGCCTTGCGTTGTTTTATCTCGAGGAGAGAGTGCTCCGTCTCTCCGCCTTCAATTTGCCTCCTTTTGTGTTTGCCTTCGGACGCCTCGTCATCGGCGCGCGGCGGCGCCATCGTTGGCCGTCTCGTTAGATCCAAAGTCACACTCGTCTGCCTTTCGCCTCCGTCGGGCGGATCGCACGCACGGCTGCCATTGTTCAAAGTGTACCCAAGTGTACGTGTGCTCGCCCGACCTGCACTTAAATTCATTCTCCAAATGTAGGCAAATGAAACGCAAACACACCACCTCCCGCTCTGCGCGTGTGTGTCATTTATCTATAATGACTTTGTGAATAGTGTCACCCCACTATCCCCCCCCCCTCACCCCCCTCCCTCGCTGAGGAGCCATCCAGTCAGTCACTCAGGCAAACCCAATCAAGTGGCTTTTAATAAACTCCACGCGAGCGTTATCGCCCGGCTGAACGTGCGCCGCCACGCCGGCTGGCCTTATCTGCTCCGCTTTTTCTTCCTCTCCTCTTTTTTTTTTTTTTTCCTTTCACTCTTTTTGACATGCCCGAGCTTCTCCTGTCACTTATTTTACTTCCCCGCGCTCGTTCCGTTCTTCAACTTCAACTCCCGGCGTTGGGAATTCGACAGTTGTTCGTTGCCTTCTTCTTCTATTCTTCGTCACGTCGTCTTCTGTGACTGGCATTTTGGCAGCATCATTGCTTTGTTTTAGTTTTGTCTTCTTGTTGGGAGCACCGATTCCTTTTGATTATTTTTACCTTCATGGTCTTCCTCAAAGACCTCCCGATGTGGGGCAAGCCCCAATTTTTGGTTTCGGCCGAGTTGAGAAAGGGTAAAAACCCAAGAATTGTCGAGTACCCAACAAGAAGATCACATGGCTCTTGCACCTCAGCTTTTTTGCGCTTTGTTTTCTTGTATTTTTGCCTTCAAGATGTCCCTCAAATCCACTTCCTGTTACGGACGCCACAGTTCATGGGTCCTACCATTTCTTGACTTGTTATGAACTGTGGTGCACCCAAAAACTAGATAACTCGTATACATCTCTCTTGCAACTTACCTCCACATTTTTTATGGGCTTGTATTTTTGCTTCCTGAAGTCCACAAAACAGTTTTGGCCATTTCTTATCTTGGGAGAAACCAAGAATTGAATTTTTTTGTCTTGTTTCATTGAGTTTTTGTTTCCAAAGGCTTCTAAAGTTCACTTCCTGTTGTGTTGCACCACCGTTGTTGGTTTCTTGATACTTGACAGCCAAAGTTCACTTCCTGTTGTGTTGCACCACCGTTGTTGGTTTCTTGATACTTGACAGCCAAAGTTCACTTCCTGTTGTGTTGCACCACCGTTGTTGGTTTCTTGATACTTGACAGCCAAAGTTCACTTCCTGTTGTGTTGCACCACCGTTGTTGGTTTCTTGATACTTGACAGCCAAAGTTCACTTCCTGTTGTGTTGCACCACCGTTGTTGGTTTCTTGATACTTGACAGCCAAAGTTCACTTCCTGTTGTGTTGCACCACCGTTGTTGGCTTCTTGATACTTGACAGCCAAAGTTCACTTCCTGTTGTGTTGCACCACCGTTGTTGGTTTCTTGGTACTTGGCAGCCAGAGGAACTGAGCATCCACGTTTCGCCCTCTGCCTTTCCCCAGGAGTGTCCCCAGCTGCTGCCGGCCGAGCGCATCCTGGTGCCGGTCAACGTGGTGAAGCCCATCACCCTACAGGCCAAGAACCTGCCCCAGCCTCAGTCGGGCCAGCGAGGCTACGAATGCCTGCTGACCATTCAGGGCAACGAGCACCGCGTCCCCGCCCTGCGCTTCAACAGCTCCTCGGTGCAGTGTCAGAACACTTCGGTGAGCGCTTGAGCCAACCGTCGTCTTTTTACCCGACGGCGCGTCTTGAAGTGACGGCGGCGGATTAGCATGGAAAAAGGTTTTATGGCGCTCTCGTGTTTATACAAACGCCTCTTCCTCCTTATGCCTGTCCTCATCGCTCTGACTACTTGTGTGTCTGTGGGATTAGTGCGCATCATCATCGCACAATCCAAATATTGTACTTTGATTGAGCGCCGAAGGAGGGAAACTGTAATCTTGCCGTAAACGATGATTGCGACGCCAAAATAGTGTTTGAAAGGTGTTTGGTGTGATTGCTTCAGAATGTGTACAACCACCTGTTGCATGCGGAACGTGTCGCCGGCCGCGTTTTGTTCAACACACACACACACACACACACACACACACACACACACACACACTTGGGAGATAATGACGGCCTCTTTCTCCCTCGCAACTCGCTGTTATTCCTTCCCTTCCACCCCACCCCTGGTTGCCGTGGCGACAGTACTTCTACGACGGGATGGAGATGAGCAGCCTTCCCGTGGAGCTGACCGTCATCTGGAACGGCGACTTTAGCATCGATAACCCCGCCCACAACAAAGGTGAGCGTCTAAACTGGCCTAATTTGCTCATTTTGCAATCACTCACGTATCTCATGCGAGCACGTATTTTTATTTTATTATTTTTTTTTATCAATGCACACATACGCAGTAGGGTCACTCCTGCCCTCGGAGTTTGTCTCCATGGCAACAGGCGGGCTGTGTGCTGAGGTGCGGCGAGTCCGGCCTGATGTTTCCTTATGGAGTGATTAACTTGGACACATTTTTTTTCCCTCACCCCTTTCGATCACTGTGGATGGCAAACGTTTTTGAACCGGTTGGAATCTTACCCGTTTTTTATTATCTGGTCACAAGTAGCCTGTTCCTGTTCAATGTCCATTCCCGGATCCAAACGCAGCGGATTACCCGACACCGATGTCTTGAAAAAGCAAAAAACCGAGGAGAATCGTCATCTCCCGAGGCGTCACGAGATGGACAGATCACACCTCCGTTTAATCGCAATTAGGAGGAAAAACGTCTGGCCCGTTGCCATGGTGATAGTATGCTAAACGCGCGGAGGCGTGAGGCGCCGCAGATAATGGCATCACCGGGCGAAGAAACTCTCCCGTTTGTTGTTCTCTGCCTATTTTGCACTCATTTGTCACTTGGTTGAGAAATCTGTTTTGTCGTTCTTGTCTCCCGTTGTAATGACCCTCTTCTTCTTCTTCTTCTTCTTTTTCTTCTCGTCTGACTTTCATTCTGCGTGCGGCGAGCAGTCCATCTGTACAAGTGCGATGCCCAGCGCAGGAGCTGCGGCCTGTGCCTGAAGGCGGATCCTCTGTTTGGTTGCGTGTGGTGCAAAGGGGAGAACCGCTGCACGCTCAAGCAGCACTGCCCGCACCCCGAGAACCAATGGCTGGAACACAACGGCATCAACAGCAAGTGCACCCACCCGCGCATCACACAGGTGAGACTCCTCCCCGTATCCTCCTCGGACTTGGAAGGATTTGCTTTCGACCAGTTTCAGGAGATCTGGACCATGAGAAGGGGCGGAGTTACGGCCCCACCCCTGGTTGCCGTGGCGACAGTACTTCTACGACGGGATGGAGATGAGCAGCCTTCCCGTGGAGCTGACCGTCATCTGGAACGGCGACTTTAGCATCGATAACCCCGCCCACAACAAAGGTGAGCGTCTAAACTGGCCTAATTTGCTCATTTTGCAATCACTCACGTATCTCATGCGAGCACGTATTTTTATTTTATTATTTTTTTTTTTTATCAATGCACACATACGCAGTAGGGTCACTCCTGCCCTCGGAGTTTGTCTCCATGGCAACAGGCGGGCAGTGTGCTGAGGTGCGGCGAGTCCGGCCTGATGTTTCCTTATGGAGTGATTAACTTGGACACATTTTTTTTCCCTCACCCCTTTCGATCACTGTGGATGGCAAACGTTTTTGAACCGGTTGGAATCTTACCCGTTTTTTATTATCTGGTCACAAGTAGCCTGTTCCTGTTCAATGTCCATTCCCGGATCCAAACGCAGCGGATTACCCGACACCAATGTCTTGAAAAAGCAAAAAACCGAGGAGAATCGTCATCTCCCGAGGCGTCACGAGATGGACAGATCACACCTCCGTTTAATCGCAATTAGGAGGAAAAACGTCTGGCCCGTTGCCATGGTGATAGTATGCTAAACGCGCGGAGGCGTGAGGCGCCGCAGATAATGGCATCACCGGGCGAAGAAACTCTCCCGTTTGTTGTTCTCTGCCTATTTTGCACTCATTTGTCACTTGGTTGAGAAATCTGTTTTGTCGTTCTTGTCTCCCGTTGTAATGACCCTCTTCTTCTTCTTCTTCTTCTTTTTCTTCTCGTCTGACTTTCATTCTGCGTGCGGCGAGCAGTCCATCTGTACAAGTGCGATGCCCAGCGCAGGAGCTGCGGCCTGTGCCTGAAGGCGGATCCTCTGTTTGGTTGCGTGTGGTGCAAAGGGGAGAACCGCTGCACGCTCAAGCAGCACTGCCCGCACCCCGAGAACCAATGGCTGGAACACAACGGCATCAACAGCAAGTGCACCCACCCGCGCATCACACAGGTGAGACTCCTCCCCGTATCCTCCTCGGACTTGGAAGGATTTGCTTTCGACCAGTTTCAGGAGATCTGGACCATGAGAAGGGGCGGAGTTACGGGGTGGCCAGCGGTGGTCACCCCCACCCCTAATTTTAAGATCTATGAATTTTTCTGGCGTTTCCACATGGATGCAGTATTCGATGACCCCTCGATACGCTTCCGCGAGTTATTTTTATGAGCAAAGCCCGTCACAGAGGGAGCCAGGTGAATGCAAATGATGTGTGCATTTGAATGCGCCGCATAGCGACCCACAAACCACCCTTGACCCCAGCCACCCCAGAAAAAAAAACATTTCCCCGCATGCCCTTGTGTTTGAGGAAGTCAGGGTAACCGGGAGGAAGACCCTCAAAATGAGAGCTGAGATTTGAAACCCAAATCTCAGAACTGCTAAGCACGAGTCCAAGGTTAGCATGTAGGGGGAGGAGATGAGCAAAAGATAGATGGAAGGATGGAGATAAAGATAGCTCGGCCATTGCCCGGTAATGTCCTCCGCACCGGCGTCCCAGAGGAGGAGGCTCCGACGAAGCAATGAGGGGGAGGCCGGAAGCAATCCCCTCCAAGCACGCTTTTTCGGGGAGGCGGCCATGCCGGAATGGAAATGTAATCCCGGATTGATGCGTTGACCCGCAACCTCTGTGGCGTTTTGGTGAAAGCCATGATGCATGAACCCTATATGCGGCACCAATCTGATTATGTCGGCGCATCAATTGACGAAATCAGGAGGGGCGGGCGGTCGGGATGAAACAGAGGAGCCTCACCACTGATTAGAAGTCATTCAAGAATTGAGAACGTGGCATGTGGTGAGGAGCTGGAGCTCATTAGGATGTGTGGGAGTTACATGAGCCCAAAGCCGGAAGCTAAGGTCCATCCATCCATCTGTGCCGGATCTAAAAACATCCAATCAAATTATACGGCGACTCATCCGTTCTCAAAACACGCCCAAAAGCTTCAACCTTTGACACGGTTACGCCGAAAACGATCGTAACAGTCGCCGCGGCGCTATCGTCGGTCGTATACATCCACGTGGGGGGTCATATGACTGCCCGAATTATGCCACGGCATGTCCATCTCTGGTTTTCAGATTACCCCCCTGCGCGGTCCGAGGGAAGGCGGCACCCTGGTGACCATTCGCGGCGACAACCTCGGCTTGGATTTCCGCGAGATCCAAGGCAACGTGAAGGTGGCGGAGGTGGAGTGCACGCCCATCCGGGACGGTTACATCCCGGCGGAACAGTAAGCGGGCTAGCTAGCCCTTGATGCGCGGAATTTCCAAGCGCCGCGTTTACCCGATGTCGCCGTCCGCAGGATCGTATGCGAGATGGGCCGCGCCGAGAAGAGTCAGTACACGGGGAACGTCAAGGTGTGCGTCGGCGTCGGCGAGTGTCGGCCGGAATTCACCGCCAAGTCGTCCAAATACTACTACTTTGTGGTACGAGCCAGGCCGTCGCTTCTTCTCCCCGCGTGTGTGACATTGTAAAGGCGTGACGTGAGGATCGTACTGGCTGTCCAGATTCCGAGGATCCTCAGCATCAAGCCGAGCAGAGGGCCCGTCTCCGGGGGAACCGTGGTCAGCATCACAGGGAGCCACCTGGACGCGGGCAGCAACGTGTCCATCATGTTTAAGGACCAGCCGTGCACCTTTCTCAAGTTAGTCGCTCGCCGTCGCGTGCCCCCGTCCCGACCCCCGCCGTTCAACGCGCACGTCGAAAAGAACCGCGCAGACATTCCAGGGCCGCCAGAAATCCGATTACATTCAAGTCATTGGCAAAACGAGCCGCCCTGGATTTACGATCTCCATAAATATCTCCCCCTAATGAGTTTCCGTTCCCCATCGCCGCTTTCACGTCTTCTTCAATACGGCACCGAGCTCCTTGGGTAAGTTATGCTCTCATTTAGCCGATAGGGCCGTGTGGGCTTGAGGGCGTGTCTCCGTCGTGATTGACAGCACGCAGACGCTTGCCTTCAAGATCCACCCACGCCACGAAATACGGCCGAAAAAGAACACCACTCGAAAAGCGTTCGTTTGTAATTTAATGGGACAGAAAACATGGCTAACGACTATCGTAATTCCGTTGTGGTCACTTCTAGTCTGGTGTACCTAAAATATCTTTTGGATGCCGCCGTGACGAAATGAAGTCATGGAATTCCAAGATCCCCGTTTTCTGAAATCCGGCATAGATTCAGTTTGAGGACGGTTCATGAATCGAAGTCAGCGTGACTTAACGCTATCATGTGACCTCATGAGACGGTTTTCACCCGCCGCAGGCGCGACGGCCTGTGGCTGACGTGCCGCACGCACGCCTCGCCGAGAGGCTACGGCAACGTGCCGGTGTCGGTGAGCATCGACAAGGCCCAGCTCCAGAAGGACCTGCGCTTCGAGTACGTGGAGGACCCCACCATCACCAAGATCGAACCCGAATGGAGTATCTACAGGTAAGAATCAAAGAAAAACCGAATCTCGAGACTCGGGATGCCAAGTATTACATCGGGCCGCATGATTTTCCCCCCTTCCGCAGCGGACACACTCCCGTGACGGTGACGGGAACCAACCTGGACATCATCCAAACGCCGCTCATCAGAGCCAAATACAACAATCACGAGACACTCAACGTAAGTCGACTCGGACGGCTGGTTTCTGGTGCCGCGGTGACGGAGAACGGGTCCAAAGCGGGGCGCGGCGAGCGGATTGAAATTAACGGCGGGTGATGAAATCTCACCGCAGCGCAGACGCAACGATATCCGCAAAGATTATCGGAATCTCCGTAGCCTTTATTCACGCCATCCGAAGGTCTCTTTTGATTTGACTGGAGATGGGAGATCAAAAAGGGGCTGATCGTATCCACGCGACACAACGATTCGGCCTTACAGATTTTTCAAGGTTGTACGTCAAGTTCGTCAAACTCACGCGGCGGCCATGCCTTTTGTGCAAATAACGCCGTCGACTTTGAGCGAGGACACATGACGGCGACGTCTGGCAGACCTTTTTTTTCAGACGTGTCCACTGTGACGTTCAAGGACCCAATTAAAACCGCAGGCGCCGGTCGGAGCGGCTTCACGCTGAAGGTTATTGTTGCCGTCTCGACGAGGGCCTTTTCTTGCCTTGCTGTCATGACACTGACAATTCCATACAGGCATGTCAGAAAGAGCCGTCTTGTTTTTTTTTTTTTTGAAAATGCGTTTCACAAACAGCTGCGAGCGGAAGCTGGCAGACCTTTTTTTTCAGACGTGTCCACTGTGACGTTCAAGGACCCAATTAAAACCGCAGGCGCCGGTCGGAGCGGCTTCACGCTGAAGGTTATTGTTGCCGTCTCGACGAGGGCCTTTTCTTGCCTTGCTGTCATGACACTGACAATTCCATACAGGCATGTCAGAAAGAGCCGTCTTGTTTTTTTTTTTTTTTGAAAATGCGTTTCACAAACAGCTGCGAGCGGAAGAGAAAGTCCAGAGCCCAAAAAGGGAAGCGTGTCAAGTCCTTCCCATCTTGTCGCCTCCAGTTGTGCCAGGTTCTGAGCCCGACATCCATGCAGTGCCAGGCCCCGGAGCTTCCCATCAGCCTCGCCCAGCAGCAGGAGGCGCCGGAGAGGCCTGACGAGTTTGGCTTCAAACTGGACGACGTACAGGCCGTCATGGCGCTGAACAACACCAACTTCATCTACTACCCCAATCCCGAATTTGAGCCTCTCAGTGTGTCCGGAGTGCTGGAGATTAAACCCGGATCGCCCATCATACTCAAGGTACATTTACCGTTGTCACGTGCGTGTTTTCGGGGTCTTCAAAGGTTTTATTTTTTTTCTTTGCTTTCCTTTTCCTGCAGGGACGGAACTTCTTGCCGCCCACCAGCAGCGGAAACGGAAAGATGAACTATACCGTTCTCATCGGAGAGAAGCCCTGCATGTTGACGGTGTCCGACAGCCAGCTGCTCTGCGAGTCGCCCAACCTGACGGGACGCCACAAAGTTCTGGTGAGTCACAGCGGCGCAAATCCGTGCTGGGACAGACGAATGTTGCCTTCTGTGTATCTGCGGCGCACGCTCCCAGACAGACTGATTGTCCGTGTGGTTGTCGTTGCTGCCCACAAGACAAACAAATGGGCCGTCTGTGCGGATTTGGACCGCGTGAAACTCAATAAGGACTCAATTTATGGCCACTTTGCTCCAAATGCTTCCTGCTGTCTCCACCTGGGCATGATTGCGATGAAACAATGAGAGAAGCAGAAGTTTGCACACATTAGATTTGAATCAATATGTCTGTCTTGGAGCAAATTAGACAAATCGTGAGAAGAAAAGTAGTTTGTCTTTTGTCTTTGGCACAATCATTATTTGACAGGAGAAGCGGCAACAAAACAGACCAAAATCCTAAAGAGAGCGGGGGGGAGACAACCTTTTCAGTGGCATAATAACACAGTATATTTTCAAGAAAGTTCAGTCTGAGATGCATCTTCGCTTTTACTAGACAGGAGATGCGGCAGTAAAACAGGCCAAAATCCAGAAATCAGGAACTGAGGCAGGGCAGGAAATGAACTTTCAAGTGACCTTATAGCACAGTAAACTGTCCCGAAGTGGAACAAGGAGTCGCCGCCGTCGTCAGTCATAAGCCGGCCCATATTCTGTCCTCAGGCTCGCGTGGGCGGAATCGAGTTCTCGCCCGGCGTGGTCCACATCACGTCGGACAGCCCGCTCAGCAGCACGGCCATCATCGGCATCGCGGCGGCCGGGGCCCTGCTTCTCCTCGCCATCGTCATGGTGCTCATCGCCTACAAGCGCAAGTCGCGCGAGAGCGACCTGACGCTGAAGCGGCTGCAGATGCAGATGGACAACCTGGAGTCGCGGGTGGCGCTGGAGTGCAAGGAGGGTACGAGACTCATACGCTGGAGTCTTTTTCGCCACCCACGGACATTGATTCATGGCACATCTGTTTTCCTCCACCCCCGTTAGCTTTTGCAGAGCTACAGACCGACATTCACGAGTTGACAAGCGACTTGGACGGCGCGGGGATTCCCTTCCTGGACTACAGGACGTACACCATGAGAGTCCTGTTCCCAGGAATTGAGGAACATCCTGTACTCAGAGACCTGGAGGTATGCTTCGTCTGTCTCGTATATGTGGCGGGTTTGACTTTGTGATTCTTGGTCAGCCCCACCTAAGCGAGTGCATCCTAACAGAATGGCAACACCTTGTTAAAAATCAAATTAAAAGTCAAGTAGGTAGAAATGGAAAGGAAAATATCTCGTAATGTATCCCCAGCTGTAACATTGATTGACAGCCGTAATTGGAAGGAGTCGTCTCGTTCCATTAAGGCGATGATTGACCCCCATTCCACTGCCCTCAAGGTTGGGCACTCCGTCCCTTGATGAGAATTTGCCAGTAATAAGCAATATTAATTAGGCTTTAATTGGGATAAATGTCAACCCGCGCGGAATGGCGAGGTGCGACGGCAGGCTAATGAAGGAAGCAGAAGGCTGCTCTTAGGTGTTTGACGTCCACCTAATTGTTATTGATGTGTCGGCAGGGGTGACAGAAATAGCCCAGGTGATGGAAAGGATACGGGGAAAGAATATTCCAGCTTTTCCCGTGGAACCATACGCAAGCGCCTTTGTGTGCTGATGAAAACACAAACGCCAAACTTGTCACACGCAAGCTGACAGTTGCGCGCACGGGCAAAAGGGACGAGGCGTCACCAACGAGGCAGACGTTGAAAAGCCCGAAACTCCGTAGGTGCTCGTTACGAAAGGAAAAGATGGAGGTCGGAAGCTCACGCGGCAAGCGCGGCGGTTGGTATAAACGGCGCGGGGACGCGGCGGGTTCCGCTTTGAATCGGCAACGCGGGCGGCTACAAAGCCTCTAAACGTGCTCTCGAGAGGTTCGCCGTTTTTATGACGCCGGCGAGATGCGTCAAAGCGTCTCGCTTGAGAACCTGCCCATATTTCTTCTACTTGGACTTTATTTTCTCTGAGTGGAATTAGCTTCCCCTGGCGGCTAAAGCTAGCACGTTTGTTTTCTCCTCCCATATGAGGCCGCTTGTTCTTGTACTGGTCCGCTAATGCGCGTTAGCATTTTTTTTTTGGTACAGGTGCCAGGCTACCGCCAGGAGCAGGTGGAGAAGGGCCTGAAGCTGTTTGGCCAGCTGATCAACAACAAGGTCTACCTGCTGTGCTTCATCCGCACGCTGGAGGCGCAGCGCGGCTTCTCCATGCGCGACCGCGGCAACGTGGCCTCGCTCATCATGACGGTGCTGCAGAGCAAGCTGGAGTATGCCACCGACGTGCTCAAGCACCTGCTGTCCGACCTCATCGACCGCAACCTGGAGAGCAAGAACCACCCCAAGCTTTTGCTCCGCAGGTAGGACCAAGAGAACTTTGGTCCATTGATAGCTAAAAAAAAAACCCCACATCCTCTTCTTTTTATTTGTCTGAATTTATTCCCTCGCCTTGTCTGCATGACTTCTGTCAGCATCTTTATTTCTAGCCTCCCCCCGCCTCCTCTGCCTCCCCATCCCTGCCTGCTTGATTGCTAAATCAATGCTTAAAGTCTGCGAACAGCCTATCTCTGGCACAGCATCTGAGCACGGCTACCCACTGATTCTTCGGCCAAGAAGTGTGTGCATGCCACACGCGCGCACACACGCACACATCATTCCATCTGTCCCGTCTCAACCTGCGTTGAAGTACAAGCACCAGGCAAGCTAACTAACGAGAACCTTCCGCAACCATCTGTCACTGCCGCAATCTCCTCTTCCTCCTCCTACTCTTCATCCCGCCGTGCGGACGCACTGCGTGTACACACATGTCCGTTTAGTTTGGTGAATTATTTACTGTATGCTAAGAACGGCCCTTTTGATTTTATTTTTTTGTGGCCAAAGCTTCATTTTTACTGGGCCTTTGGTAGACAAACGACGTGAGGAAATGGAAAGGATTTGGAGCCAGTGTGTGATTACTGGACACAAATAAAAAAAGGATCAAACGTGACCCGGGTGGCCTTGTCGCAGGATGAGAGTGACGAGGGGGGGGAGGGGACAGCGGCGAGAGGCGGGAAACTAATCCCCCCCAGGTGTTGTGCCAGGCCGCCTCACTGGCATGGCGGGCCTTGGCGTGAAGCCCCTTCAAGTGGCTATCTGGACGTCGAGGGGGAGGCGACTGGGTTGCAGGTGGTCGCCCGAACTCTCCGGCAATGGAAGCTAATCCTGAAATATTGATGCCTTTAAATATACCCGCAGTCCCCTGCTGCTGGCCACACACACACACACACACAAAAAAGGGGGGGTGGGGAGGGATATCCGATCCTCGCCAGTGCTGTTGATATTTGTATGCATGCATGGAGTCATTCATTCACGCAGGATCAGTCACACGGGGGTCGACACACACAGTCAGAGGATGGCAGGCATTGAAGCAGGCACGTATTCATTCGGTTTCTATTGTACGCGGATAGAGTGGCAGTCCAGTGAGAGGAAATTTTCAAAAAGGGTTTGCTAATGAGGCCAGTGTTCCTACAACGGGACACATCAATCCAGCAGGATCAAATCAAATCGACGCAAGATGTATTTATTTTTTTTCCCGTTTTGGGTCCGTTGAAGGCATCATAAAGTCGATGCTTATTTTTGTGTGGCGTCTCTCCGCAGGACAGAGTCTGTGGCGGAGAAAATGCTGACCAACTGGTTCACCTTTCTCCTCTACAAGTTTCTCAAGGTAACAGAAAGGACTCGCAAATGCCATCCTTTCACAAATGTGGAGTTTTTGTCAAGTGTCTGATTCCAAAGTGTCATTCCTGCCATCGATACTCCCTCAAACGTTGATTTCCAGCTCATGAATTGAAGTAGGAAGTGGAAATAATTACCGCACCTCTATCGATGTACTGCTACTCAAAAAACGACGACCGTGTATCGAATTTTGAGAATTCATTGAACCATAAAAACATAGCATGACTGTCAGAGGGAAGGTCGGGTTCAGTCATGTTCACCCTTTTAGGTTTGTCCCCCGGCGGCGAAATGAATCTGACCTTTCCATATCCAAACTTTTGTTCAGGAGTGCGCCGGCGAACCGCTCTTCTCGCTCTTCTGCGCCATCAAGCAACAGATGGAGAAGGGCCCCATTGACTCCATCACAGGAGAAGCGCGCTACTCTCTAAGCGAGGACAAGCTCATCAGACAGCAAATCGACTACAAGACGCTGGTGAGGAGGAGGAAGGGGATCGCGAGCACCGTTTCGTTCTTGATCTGCCGTTCCTGCTCGTTGACGTTGTGTCATCGGGACCTCAGGTGGTCAACTGCATCCACCCGGAGAACGAGAAGAGCCCGGAGATCCAGGTGAAGGTGCTCAACTGCGACACCGTCAGCCAGGTGAAGGAGAAGATCCTGGACGCCATTTACAAGAACGTGCCGCATTCGCACCGCCTCAAAGCCTCCGACATGGACCTAGGTAGGATTCTCCCGGCGTACCGAATGCAGCCCAAGCGCTGTTGACGGTCCTGCGCTCGGCATCATCGCCAAAGAGTCCCCGATTACCTTCCAGTAACACACACTGTGATTGCAAGGCCCGATAAGGATAATGGGATTGTGGAGGAGTCTCTCCTGAGACGGATTTTTTTTTTTTTTTGTTGCATTCTTCCTCTGTTGCAGTCCCCAAAAGGGCCAAGAACAAAGAAAGTGCCTTTTGTGGATGTTGATGTCCTCACATGTGTTGGATTGTAGGAAACGTGTGTAAACTGCCGAATAAGACGCTTTCCCAGAAGGCAACTTGATTGAGCACGAGTCCATAATACGTCGACACACACACACGTACACTCCTGAGTCCATATGCCAATCCCACTTTCGAGTTTATTCTTTGATCTGTTCCTCATCTTTTTCCCACGTTTGGTTCACTGGGACTCGACAGTTGACAAGTGCTCATTTCCATCTTGATGGAAAGATCGACTGTGTCGATTTTTTTTTTAAACGGAATCATCACAGCAGGACATTCTGACGATTCCGCTCAATCCTCCGTGGACCGACCCTCCGGGATCGGCGCGTTATTTCTTTCCCCCCGCCATGATTGAACTGGGGGGGAGGGGGGGGGGTGAGGGCTTTAGCTTCGCCGCTTGTTGACCGAGCGACTGTTTTTCCTCCTTCGTCATCGTAACCGCGTCTGGGTTTTTTTTTTCCAGAGTGGCGTCAAGGCCGAGGGCAGCGTGTGATCCTGCAGGACGAGGACGTCACCACCAAGATCGAAGGCGACTGGAAGAGACTCAACATGCTGGCCCACTATCAGGTAATTGGCCCCATTGTGGTTCCATTCAGCGTATCTATAATAGGAGCATGTCTGAAGGTTGTGGAGACGCGGGAATACTAAAGATCCACCCCCCCCCAACCCCTCGCTTCTCCTCCCCTGCTTTCACTTGATATCAACATTGCGGACTGAGTGAACGAGTGATAGGATCTTAATAATCGCGCAGGCAACAAAAAAGGCCCTGGGTGCTTATTCCCTGTCCCATCCACCCAAACAATGATAGAGATCACTTCAATTAACCCCGCAGCGTGGCTACTCCCATTATTCACAACACACCCACACCGTGTGCGTGCAAGATCCCGGTTGTGTTAATTGAAACCAGTTAGGATGAGCTGGGAATTGACAAATGCATTCGCGCACACCTGCACACCCGCACGCTGCCCACGCGTACGCACGACGCATCCTCGACAGGAACCCGTTTATTATTAAATTGAGACATCACGCAGCCCGGCGCGCAAACTGTCAATCATCGTGGTTGTGAAGTTCCAATTCAAATGTTGCCGCCGGCTGTGTGCACCGCAGGTGTCCGACAACGCCGTGATGGCCTTGGTTCCCAAGCAAGTCACGGCGTACAATTCGGTCAACAACTCGACGGTGTCCCGAACGTCTGCCAGCAAATATGGTGAGTGCACTCCTTTTGTCAGCATAAAGTCCTCCGATCTTGTCCTCCCCCACCATCGGTCCGTGCGGAATAGCCTCCTTGCCCCGTCTCTCCAAGTGGGCAGGGAGGAGAAGTGGCAGTAAAACAGGCCGAAATCTAGATGCCATTTCAATCAGGAAAACTGATTTGTAAAATGGAGCTGCAAGCTTCGTCAAGGGACAAATTAAATGCCGATTGCAAAGGTACTACTGTACGATTGTGCACAATTGATCGTATCCATCATTTATGTTTAGTAAGCATCGAGTCTCTGCTATCGTCGGATGTTTTTCCCCAGGGGGCGCCGTTGCCAGAGTGTTGCAGGCATTTCGCAGGGTTTATTTGTTCTCCAGTCAGCCGCTGATCAAAGCAGGCGTCGGACACTCTGCGCACATCAGACGCGATGCAGTGTTAGCCCGTTAGGGCCTCACCTTTTGCCACCGCTAAGCCCAATTAGCACAAGGACACGGCGACTCTCTTTCTTCAAACGCGATTGCCATCCAATTAACATGGAGAGTGTTGCCGGAAAGAAAATTCGAAGATGCTGGAAGGCACCTTAAAGAATACCGCTGGGATCGAAATAGCCCAATCCGAGTTTTCAAACCTTGATCCGCTAAATCACACACTCTCTAACTTTCTCAGACTTCTTGCAGCTATCTCCTCCCTCTTTGGCTTTCAGGAGCGATTGATTGCGCCCCAAAAAGCCGCTGATCAATTTCCACTCACACCGTGTCAACATTCACTGAGCCGTGTGTTTTGGATTTATCCATCCGCCGGGTGGGCACGTTGTATTTTCGGTCTTCGATTTTATGTCAATCGGTGTCTGGCCACCACCCAAAGACGACGATTTCGCCACTTTTCCGGGATCTTGGAAACACAACTCTTACGGCCTCGGTGTTGAGACTTTGCATTTGGTTCTCCGCCCCCCCCCCCCCCCCCCCGCCTTTGCACAGAGAACATGATCAAGTACACGGGAAGTCCAGACAGCCTGCGCTCCCGGACGCCCATGATCACGCCCGATTTGGAGAGCGGCGTCAAGGTGTGGCACCTGGTCAAGAACCACGAACACGGCGACCAGAAGGAGGGCGACCGCGGCAGCAAGATGGTCTCCGAGATCTACTTGACCAGACTTCTGGCAACCAAGGTGAGCCCGACCTCCATCCAGACTTCCCATGACTTCGGAAAAAAAAAAAAAAAAAGCCTTTCCCTTCTTTGCATATTCATTTGCGGGGAATCATCTCTTTCGGAGAGGATTATTCAAATGTATTCCCCTCTCCTCCCTCGAGGACACGAGATGAGAGAGAAAGTAGATAGTGTTGTAGTTTTGTTTGTTTTCTTTTTTTTACCCCCCCTTTTTCTCAAATTGGGCGTTGACAAGGCGTCTTATCGGAAGGGCTCAGGATAAGAGGCTGTTTGAGGTTTTTCTGCACAAAAACAACAAAAAAAAAAGACAATGAGGTGAGTTACTTTGAACACTGCTCACCCAAAGAGAGTTTCTTCCCCAGTCGGCTTCAACTCTTTAACCCTGAAGAACCCACGGGGGTCAAATTTGGCCACTATAAATTCTGCTACTCAAATGCTACCCTTAAATCCCAAAGGGTCGAATTTGGCCCTAATCCTAAATTAGGATTAAAGCATTGAATATTTGAAAAAAACATATATTTATAGCAGTCATTTAATGGATAATTCATCATTTTCCAAAGAAGAAAAGGGGGTTCTCCAGGGTTAAAATGGTTGCCAATGCATAAAAATAGATCAGCAGTTCAAGAGTACCTGAAAAAAAAGGATGAAATTGTCACCAAAAAAAAAAAAAAAAAAATTGAACGTGTCCTGTATGGCGCTTGGCGTTTGCGCTAAAATGGCGAGTGGATGTTTTTGCCGCCGCCGGGGGGGAAGACGAGCGATGTCTGCCGACGTACGCTTTCGAGATGGAGGACGTGAAATGTCACTTCACGCTCGCCATACGTCACGTCCCCGCTGTCAGATAATCGTCTGGCAAAAAAAAAAAAAAAAGGGCCCATGGGCTTGAACCGGTGAGATATGATTCTATCTACACGGCGGGGGGGGGGTAAAAAAAAAAAAAAAAAAAAACGAAAGCTGTCAGGGCCGCATTAGAATTACAGTTATGATTGTCTGGCTAACGGGATTGTCTGCCTCCTCTGATTCGCTCAGACGCTCCGGCCCAAATTGGATTTTGATTTGCCTGCACCTCATTCCTAATAGGAAAGCTCTGTCCTTTCATTGCATCCCATCAGCTCATTCCTCCTCATTCTACAAGAGGATTAGATTCCGCCGCTGTATTTGCCCCTTCTTCTTCCTCTTTCTGTCAGGTCGGCAACATTAAATCAAATGAAGGGTCATCTCCGCGCGAAGTTCATCCGGCAACCGTTTTTTTTTTTTTTTTTTTTCCCTTTTACAGGGCACCCTGCAGAAGTTTGTGGACGACCTCTTCGAGACCATCTTCAGCACAGCGCACCGAGGGAGCGCCCTGCCGCTCGCCATCAAGTACATGTTTGACTTCCTGGACGAGCAGGCCGACAAACACAACATCCACGACCCGCACGTGCGGCACACGTGGAAGAGCAACTGGTGAGCGGACGCGGTCGTCGTTTTGTAGTACCTCGGAGTTTCGCCGCGGGCCCAATCGCCGTCTTTGAGGCACGCTGCCAACAATCTCCCATCGCCGCACGTTTTTCAAGGCCAGAGCTCCCAGTGGAAATCTCCGCCGTCCCAAATGTGCGATTCATCGTAATATGCGCTGATGAACTCGAGGGTGGCGAGGGGTTAAGTGAGCTGTGAAGGAAGGGCGATGAAATAATGAAAAAAAAAAAAAGGCAAGTCGACTCTGTGGGAGTTAAACGCACGCTAATATCTTATTAGCCTCCTGACCCTTTGCCAAAGATCCCAGCGTGCTTCACTCACATGAATGTGTGTCAAGGGACAAGTAAGGAGCGAAAGCCATTATTGAAAAGCAATTATTGAGATTTCCATTGATATTACATGTCTTGTTCAACATCATGTCATACTGCAATGGATGTCTTACTATACTTTATGTCATGCTACATATGATGTCTTACTAAGGGTGTGCAGGATACATGCTAGCAATTTGGATTAGACGTGGGTTTTTTTTTTTTTGTTTTGTTTTGTTGTTTTTTTGTTGTTTTTTTTAACCAACACTGAGCTGGTTTAATGAACAGAGCATACTAACAGCGAGCCATCCTCCTGGAAAATTCTAGCCACTAAGCTAACTTGCTCTGCGCCGGCGACAAGATTCTGCTAGCTTGCTAGCACGGCTAAACACAATTTTTTTTTTTTTTTTTTTAACCGTCAATTTTAGGATCGTCTTTAAAGCCTGGCTTGACGTTTATACTTCCAGACAGATCCTGGCAGGTGATGTTTAAACGGAGCGCACAGATGACTGCCATCTGACATCTCCAAAATTGACCCAGTATGAAATAACGGCGGACAATTTTGTGATTTTTTTCCACACAGTTGACGATGCCAGGGTGTTATTACGCCACTTCTTTTGAACGCGCGGAATCATTTGAAAGAACTCGAAAGAACGGGGCAGCTGGGGCGGCTTAGCGGCAGCCTAAATATCCCTCTGATCCCCCCCACAGCACCTAATCCCCTCTAGATTCTTTGCTTCGATTAATGTTGAAGTCATAATGCAGACTTTTACTTCCTGTGGTCCAAATCCTCTTGTGCTAGATTGTCCGTCTTAATAGCTTTGTGGGCGTGGGTGGAGTACTGCTTTTTGTTGCTTTTTTTTTTTTTTCTCCTTCTCATGATTGCATTTCCTCAACCAGCCTCCATGTTTTCGTTTTTTTTTTTGTTTTTTTTTGCCACTTCAGCCAAAAGTCGAGACGATTGTGAAGATGTAGTGATCCAAATAGCTCATAGCTCTCCTTTATTCACAGTAGGATGGTTTGTAACTTCTTTTTTTTCCTAGCTCTCCTTTATTCACAGTAGGATGGTTTGTAACGTTTTTTTTCTTGTCTTTCACATCCCGGCAGCCTACCTCTGCGTTTCTGGGTGAACGTGATCAAGAACCCTCAGTTCGTGTTCGACATCCACAAGAGCAGCATCACTGACGCCTGCCTGTCTGTGGTGGCCCAGACCTTCATGGACTCCTGCTCCACCTCGGAGCACCGCCTTGGGAAGGACTCGCCGTCCAACAAGCTGCTGTATGCCAAGGACATCCCCAGCTACAAAAGCTGGGTGGAGAGGTGAGCTCGGGCCCCTGACGCCGCTGACTTCGCCACGTTGCGAGGGGTTCATCCCATTTCAGTCCAGCGCATTGACAGATTTTCATCTCCAAACCTCGAAACCGATTTGGAATGATTAGCGGGCGTGAGAAACGAAGAACATCCATGCGGGTATTTGTCCAAATGAGACTTAGATTACATTTTGCTCGTCTGAGGGCGCCGGGAGAGGCTCGTGAATAAAAGATGGCGCCGCGGCGCACGTTATTCATGCGCCGGCAGGTTTTGGAAGCGGGCGGCGGCGTGTGCGCGAGGCTTAAGGCTGAGCCGTGCCCTCATTAGTCGTGTGTTGTGTTCCTGCAACCTGCCGGGAAACTGATTTACTGATACGGGGCGCGCAGGTGTGAGGATGCTGATTCATCAGAGTCGACGCCAGAGGGCTACTAGTTGAGTCGGTTCGAAGTTGGAGAGGAAGTAGTGCGGGCTGAGAGTAACTCGCCGGGTTTAAAGTAGCTGCAGGATGTTTGTGTCGTTAATTTAGGGAGGCCAAGTGAGGCGGGTTTCAACGATGATGACACTTTCCATGAATTTGATGGCCCGGTTTGATGGCCTCCGGCACAAGAATGCGCGGCGGCGGCCATTAAAGCCGTTTGTTTACAAGTGCGCCGGCGCACGGGTCAGCACTTTTTGCCAATCGGACATTTTACGGCCCTTTGTTTGAATTAAAAGTGGCCGGTCGCCGTAAAATGGCTCCACATAAAGAATTTTTTAAAAAACAGACGCGCAGGTCGGTTATTCAATGGGATGTTTATTGCTGCAATATATTAGTCGTTCAGTGTGTGAAACAGTTTTCGAGCACACTGGCAACACTCAGGTGTTGCGGGACGATCGACCTGCGGGCAAAAGGTCCTGAACAACACCCGCCTGCTTTCCCGTAAAGACACCGAGCAGCCCAAAAAAAAAAAAAAAAAAAATCAGCGCATTTGTCCTCCAGTTGGATGGAGCTGCGGGATTTAAATATGCAAATAAGCGGCTTTAATTAACACTGCTGATGGATGCAACACAGCTGCTGCCGCTGCTGACTCCAACCGAGTGTGAACGTGTGCTGCAGTGTTCAAGGTTGAACCCCTCTTTGTCGTGTGTGTGTGTGTGTATGTGTGTGTGTGTTTACAGGTACTACTCAGACATCAGCAAGATGCCGGCCATCAGCGACCAGGACATGAACGCCTACTTGGCCGAACAATCACGCATGCACATGAGCGAGTTCAATAGCATGAGCTCACTGAGTGAGATCTACTCCTACGTGGGTGTCTACACGGAGGAGGTGTGTGTGTGTGTGTGTGTGTGTGCTTCACATGTTCTCAAGCACTGCAATATAGAAAGATAAGGAATATTTCTAGTTTTACCCCAGTTTTTCCAAATAAGAGGTCCAGCGTGCGTGCTTCAAGCTGTCTACTTGTCCCACTTGACATTGACTGTCAAAGTGACACATGAAACCAAAATCTGAATTGAATCTTGTATATTGAAAAAAGATCAAATGTTCAAGCAAACCATATATGCTAATTAGCTTCATGCTAAAATACAGTGATGTAAAATCTTGAAATAAGCCCTGTATGGTACATTTGAAGTTTCCTGTCAAACTAAACATAAAATAACGACAGTTAGACATGTATTTAAAACAACCACGTTGAATTGACGCACTTTTTTGCGTGTCTTTGTTCGTTCGTTTGTGTCAGATTGTCTGTGCACTGGAGCAGGACGACGCGGCCAGGAAGCAGAGGCTGGCCTTCAAGCTGGAGCAGGTGGTGGCCTTCATGACGCTGGAGAGCTGAGGACCGCACTTCCCAGGGTGCACTGGGAAGAAGAGAAGAGACATCCTCCGCCCCCCCCAAACACCCAGCCCTGCCTCTTTTTCGCCCGCCCCGCCACCGTCCGCACTCTTGTCCCGACACCGAGCCGTGCCTGAGCAAAAATCTGTTCCTCGTTTGTTTTTTTCTTCCATTCCTGCTTCCTCGATTGAATTGTTTTGGTCCCTCATCCACTGCTGCATACAGACACAGAAAAAGAAATGACATTTTTACGTTGCCTTCAAGAATTGACTGACTGGTAGAATTCTTTTCAGACTGGGAGGAGTGCGACAAATAAACAGCGGTTCTTTGGATCTTGAACAATGCAATTTTTTTTTCTCTCTCTCTCCCTTGTAGCTGGATTTGCATTGAAGACTGAGGTTAAGGGCTCAGGAGGGCGCTGACAATGCTGCAGAGCCCCTCCCCCACCCCCGCGTCCTCACAACCCTGACATTAGCACACACATTTACTAGCATTAGCTTCCACGCTTCCATCCGGCTAAAAAAAACTTTTCTCCTCGACGAAGCCCCACGCGGCTCCTCTGTAAGAAGCACACAAAGATGGTTAACTTGCGTGTGGCGGTGTCGTCGCACACCTACACACACCTTGACGCACACACACACACACACACACACCAATCAACAATGTCCCGGGGATGTGCGGGGGCATACAAAGTTGGTTCGCCTAAAAACCAAAGGAGCTTGACATTTTCAACACAAAAAGATGTATTTGTCAAGTGCCACAGAGGAACACGGACAACATTGACAAAAATACAACGAAAAAGAAAAAAAAAAAATACTAAATGGACTTTCAAAAAAAAAAAAAGAAAAAAATTGTGACTGGAACCTGTGTGCTACTTTTTCTGACCTCAGTTTGTGGAGATGCTCCGTGGCTCCTGGCTTTTCCACACCTTTCTTTCCTGTTTTGCACAAGCCTTCAAGGTGGACGCCGGCCATAGTGTAGCCGCGGAGGCGCTGGTGTCGTCTTCACGCCTCTCGGATTTGAAAAACAAAACAAAACAGAACAATGGAGCGCAGCAGCGAACTGAAAACTTGTCGGATGAGCGAGAAAGCGAGGCCACCTCTTGTATCCTGTGAAGCTCTGCCCTTTCTTTTGCCTTGACAACGTGCCCCATGTGGTGATGTGAATGTGCGAAGGCCGCCCTCGGTCCACCTTTATTGGCTTTTTAAGCGCATGTAAAACCATTTAAGAAAAACTTATTTAAGGAGAAAAAAAAAAAAAGAATAATTAAGAACTAAGCCTTGCGATGATGATGTGGATGTGTTTGTTTAACTTTGTTTTGCTTTGAAAGGGAAAAGCAGATGGCGGTATTGAAGTTTAAGGTGGAACCTTTATCCAGTTGACTTGCGGAATCTGATCATTAGTGTCCAGTGGTGCCTTGAGATACAACTTGAGTTTCTTCTGAGATGATGTTCCAGTCTCAAAGCATCGTTCCTCATTGAAATGAATGGAAATGCTCTTAATTCATTCCAGCCTTCCCCCGAAAAATTAGAATGTTTTTTTTTAATGAAGGAAAATGGTACGCTAAGGTATGGTGCTATATAGAAACAAGTCTTGACATAATTAGAACCTAAAGAATGAAACTCTTTTTTTTTTCCCAATTCAATGGCTCCTCATTCAGCCGTTCTGTGCAGAAGATAAAGAATAAATGCCTGTCAGTATTGTTATCTCTGTCTGTGTTACTTAAAGTTATAACACCTCCACATAGATTCTTTTCGTCAGCCTGTCTGTGGTGTTTCCCCTTATAAGTTAGCATTAACATTAAGCTAGCAGACCATATCTTTATTTTTAAAAACACAACACAAAAATCTCTTTGGTTCGTGTTTAGTTTGAGAGCAAACAGTGAACACCTTGAACGTCTTTTTGGAAGAATTGTTTTCGAATTCTGTCTGTTCATACAGTGCTCGCATGTCAAGGTTTTGCTCTCAAGTCAAAGCAAAAATCATCCAAACAATGGCTTGTTTCTCAAAAACACAGACTCTCATATCTCAAGGCGGCACTGTGCATTACACTGTTGCATGATGATCGATTATGAAGCTGCTGACTGACTGGTCTCATTGGTTCAACTTCTGCAGCCCGCAGCCGCTAGCAGGGTGTTTGCTCGTCACGATGGCTGTCAAACATATCAAAGACATGGAGATAGAGAAGGTTGGAGTAAATGGATAGACTTCTAAATTAGCCGTGTCCTTCATGTAGCTAAGCTGAAAAAAAAAATACACTGTGCGTAGAAGCCCTACCAGCCTCGTGTACATAACGCACCACTGAGTGACAGCACAGATAAAGTTTCCACCTTGAAATGTTTTGTAGGAACTACAGTGCAGACGTCCTCCTAGCTCAGTATTATAGCAGGTGTTACACACACACAAAAACACACAAAAAAACAGACTTTTATGAGACCATATTTGAAAGATAAAGAGTATCTTATCAAGAGATCAAAACAGTCCGGGGGGGATAGAAGGTGAGCTTCTCTAACTTTGTTAAAATTAATTGTATACCTGTGTATGTAAATATAATGCATTCCTATTTTGCAGTCCAGAACAAGATACTATTTGTAATATAGAATAAACTTTATTAAGAAACCAAGGGTCCTCTTGTTTTTTTAAATGCCTTGTAATTTGAATTAGATTGCACGAGGTTCACCCAAGAGGTTTATAAACGTGTATTGCGTAAACGTCATTGGAACCACGCCCCTAAACGGTGGTGGGGGCTGATTTTGATTTTCAATGTGTAATAAAGTGTCTAAAATGGCCAAAATATGAGTTGCACCCAAAATATAAGGAGTACCATGGCCAAAGTATTCGGGAGGCGATATTGAGACGACATCGTATGACGTCACGCCGGAAAAAAAATCAACCAATTGGAAGACAGCCTGAAATTACATGACGACGATGCGACAACGTCATCAAACGTTGCCATCAACAAACGACGAGGGAATCCCGTGTCAATTTGTAAACAAAACAAAAACAATATTGTTTGAATGATAACAAAAGACGCTTTGTTGCTGTGACGTTTTGCCATCTGCAGAAGTTGGACCTTGCAGGTAAGAAACCATTAATCGGCTCAATTTACATGCACATATTTCACGTTTTACAAACACTTTGCCTTGATTTAATCTTAAAAAGGCGTACAATAGTAGCACAGGCTGAGTCATCAAATATGATGTTTTGTTTGTAAGTGTGCACAAAAATCTCTGCTGCCAATTATGTACTGTAACCCTTCAGGCTATCCTAATCTACACAATGGGTTAAGGTTTACAAATTATTCAAGGATAATGTACGCATTTGTTTATTTTCTGGTATTACATGGATCTTCTAAACAATGGAAACATTCACTACTCACAAATAGTTAGCATTGGACATTTCATGATGTTCTGAAAATGCACGACAACTTTTACAGGTGAACTTAATCCGACCTGTAAACTTTTGTATTCCCCACTGTTGAATGTTTCAGTACTTGTGCACAACCTGCTGCTCTGGAATAATGAGGTGAAGGGCAAAATTCAACACAGGATGTTCTCAGAGTGGCCACTGAACTTGGAGTTACCAGTAAGTTGCAACCGAGTTCACGAAAACGAATCAACAAAACTAAAATTTGATAGTGTAATTGAACCTATTCTGTTTTTTTTTTTTTTTCCTTTTGTAGACTTTGAGTCTCCTTTGACTTCTCACCAACAATTGCCCACAATGACATGATCGTCAGACTGGCGAGTGATTCCAAGGACAAGCGTGAGAAATTCCCGGCGCGGAGGAGTCAGCAAAGCCCATCGACAGAACATCCGTCGACCGCTTTGATGCTGCAGCCAAGGGTTCTCCAGGTAGACACCTTCCCACCGCTTCCCGCCCATCCGCTTAGCTCTCAGGTAGAGCTGCTGCGGCATTCCTCCCTGTAAATCCTCCCCCCCCCCCGAGGGATGATGTCAGGGAGGGTTGGCGGTTGCAGTTCAACAGGACTAAAAAGTGCCTCGGTTGTTTCGTTTCAATGCCAATGTAAGATTTTAAAAAGCAGCGTTTGAAATTAATATATGATTGGAACCAAAAGGGGACGAAAGAGCGGGCTTGTGGACGCGTCGAGAGCGGCCATTTCATTCCAATCAGGCCAATGTTTTGCTGGCGTTCTCCGAACTCGGCCGGTTGTCAATAGAAACTGCACTGCAGCAGAGGGATGCTAATGAAGGGAAAGGGGAAAAACAACAGAGGGGAGACGTGTGTGTAGAATCTAAAAGCTGCAAAAAAAACAAACAAAAAAAAAAAGTGGCGTGTAAATGCAGTAGTTGACACCTCCACAAATACTTGTCAGTTGCCACCATTATGACGAACACTAAAATACAGTCGTGTAGTAGGCCTAAACGTTCATCAAAAATGGAAGTTTTATTCCTAAAAAAAAAAGCATATTTAAAATTAATTTAAGCCACGGTTACGTTTTGCACACTTTGAACCTTTTCCAATGATGACAAACAGTGACATGTAATGCGAAATGCCACGGACCGGCTAACTAATAACGTTGGAAATTTGAACAGAAATGGTGGCGAAACACATGTAGACAGACAATGCTCACAGGCTTATTTTCTTCATCCTCTGCAAAGAACGATGAAAAGTACTGCTGATGCGTCTCCGTTGAATGTCCAGTGAATTGATTATCTTTTCAAATTAATCACCGGTCGATCATTATTTTCCCCCATTTGTTCCCGTCTCTTCCTCCCGCATTTTTTTTTGAGTCTTGATAAAGCAGTTTGTTCATCGAGGCTATGTCGTGGAAGAACAACACGCCGTACCTTTGCGAAATGTATCGTGCAGGAGGACTGTGAGGAAACCCAAGTGAGCGGGGCGACACTCGATGAGGATGAGCAAGCGAGATACTCGTCGGGGCGTAACGCGGCGCGCTTTGATATAAAAAGCCGCGTCGCAGGTGTGCCGTCACGTCCCCCTTCACACATGCTGATTGTTTTGACCGAGATAATTGGGCCCCTGTCTACGCGTGTTGCGCCGCGGCTAGTTGTTTCAACACCTGCCAAACACGGGCTCACCGCAGCCTCGCGAGCGCCATGGCAACGCCGCGCGAGCAGCAGAAGCGGATAGCGCTGGCGCCCGTGCACCTATGGCTCATCGTTTTTCTTTGTCGTGTATTGTCGAGGTGTCGGATGAAGACTCGGTGCCATTTATTGATCTTCAAATCCCAACCCCGGATTGGCCGAGCAGGTTCAGACGTCAGAACAGTTTTTCCTCCAATAAACAGTCAAGTCCTTTCCCGTAGGGGTTTGCACTCGCTTTATCCCAAACAAGAGTCCCTGGCGCTCAACCGAAAAGAGCCGACAAAGGATGAAAAGGAACTCACCCCGTTTTATTTTATTTTTTTCCCCTTTTCTTCCTCAAAGGCCGCTCACTTTTATCGCGCGCCTGTTTGTGTTTCTGTGTTGCACTTGTGCTGTCCTTTCTCTAATTTAGCAGCCCCGCCGACGTGTCCCGCCTCTTAAACGACCCCCCTCAACCCCCCGTTGATTGTACGGCGGCCTCATCAACAATTCTTGTTGCTTTTACACATTGAGATCAAAATGCGCACGTCATAAGACTTTTCGCACTACTCTTTGACCTGAGTGCCCAGAGGAATCTTCTCCAGGTTGCGGCCCGGGGTCAAGGCTATTAAATCTGGTTATCATGGGTTGCCGCATGGCCCCGCCCACCCGCTTCGGTGGAGGCGGAAGAAGTTCACAGTCAGCAAAAATGAAAGTAGACCGACCGGCACCTCCTCGCCTTCATAAATGATACTCGCTGATGCGGGCATTACTGCCGCGTAAACTTTTTTTTTGACTTTTCTCACTCTTAGTAGTGTTAAAACTTTTGGGCACACTTAAAAAAAAACCAAAAAAAAACTGTGAATCGATCCCCCTTCCTTCGTACATGTTAAGCGCTGCAGTTTTGCTCGACGGTGAGCTAGTCCGGCGGGTCATTGCATTTTTAATGCGGACTTATTTTCAACTGAATAATTTAGTGCCTGGTCAGCAAGCGAGGGTGATCCGGAATCTATCTGATGGGCATGAGGGGGGAGCGCGCCGGGACGAGGCGAGTCAGGGAACATGCAACTTCAGGAACTTCGGAGGTGCGGGGGTGGGAAAGTGCACGTGGTAGCATGATTGATCGCGCGTGTCACTTAAGAACGTGCACATCCACGGGAAGACGTCTTGGAAATCCGCTGTTGCCAACGCCGGCACTTCCAAAGTTGGATCTTGTTTATTCGATCGTGAAGATAACTTCAAATAGGGTGTGCACATTTTGGCAACCACGTTGTTTTATTTGTCTCTGCCGATTGAAAAGGTTATTTACACCCCCCCGCCCCCTCCTTTCAATTGAGTTGTACGTTATGGGTCACAATTTGGGAGGAAAACAGTTGACATCACCAAATCCTGGCACTTACACAGGGGTGTGTAGACTTTTTATACTACTTTCATTTTGAGGAAAAAGTCATTCCCCAGGATCATAAAATATCTTTTTATCTTTTTCAACTCTTCAGGCGGAGCGAGAGGCTCTCAAACTATCCAGCTGAGTTCTAAAAATAGGGACGACTTTTCTCCATGTGCTTCTATTTTTTTCTTCCCCCGGCCACTCGATGAATCTGTTTTACTGCATTATGGGGGGGGGTATTAATGGGCGCAAAGCACACACTCAGAGGTTGAAGGCGGAGTTGGAGGGGGGGGGGCTGCTCGGTGGCCCGGCCTCTGCCGACATGAATAACAAAAGGCAGAGCGGGATCATTAGGCCCCGGGATGCCTCAGGGCTCCGGGCGCTTTAATCAGGTTTGCGTAATGAATGCGCCTGCTGTGAGTCGCCGCTTATTCATAACGCTCGGCCAAATGCACTTCTAATGCGGTCGCGGACATTGCTAGCGTGTGCATGTGTGTGTGTGTGTGTGTGTGTGTGTGTGTGTGTGTGCGCAGGCCAAGTGATTGAGGCGGTGTCGGCTTTTATTAACGGCCCCGGAGTTGAGATGATGCAGTGACAATATTATGACAAGGCCTCGGGTCGCGCGAGATGGATCATCACCTCGGGATTTCTTCACAGCAATGTCATGCATTTTGAGAGATGAAGTCACTCATTTGTCTGGTGGAGTACCCTTAGATGTTCGGTTCCACGCAATAGGCATATAGTGTGTACGTACAACGGTATTTTTTTTAGTCGACTATAATGTGATGAAAGTCGAGTCGAAGTCGATTCATCAGTGACGTCGTTGGTATTTCATTTTTCAGCACAGTGCGGCGGCCGCCGATCAAAGAAAAAACACTTTCGGGAATAGTGGGGGCTTTAAGCGCGAAAACCTCGATGCAGAGTAGTAAAGTCGACTAGTCGACTAGTCGGTTCAACCCCCCAATAATCACTTGCATATCGCGGCGCCTTTTCAACGTTTTTGAATATCCCGAAAATCTTTTATTTCACTTGCGCACTTGGAAAAAGTTGAAATTCTTGAGATATATATATTTTTTGAATCATGTGATCATCTACTAATCATGTTATTGATGACTCACAATCCCGACAACCATTCAACCAGGGAGGAAACTGAAAACGACCAGCATGCAACACGAAGCCCAGTCGAACGGCCCTTGACAACAACAATCGGCACGACAACAGCCGCACCGCACCAACAACAGCAACAGTCCCCGTTTTCAAATCGTCACCTCGACAACGCCCCATCGCAAAAAAAAAAAAAAAAAAAAAACAGAAGTTTAAAGGGGCGTCGCCC